AGGATAGTTTCACCTGAGAGAAGCTGGCAGGCATCACAAAGAAGGGGACAAACAGCTGGGCTGGGAATAAACAGAAAGAAGGCAATGTTCCCTAAATGGAGGAGGGTGTGAATACAAGAAGAGAGATTGGTGCTGGCATAGGGAATTGAGGAAACCTGGAGGAATCCAATTTGGCTGCAACATAAAGGGGAAATAACATGAAATAAGGCTGGGAAGACCAGGCTGGCTGGACAAACACACACACACACACACACACACACACACACACACACACGAACGAAGTTCTGAAGGGGACAAAGGACAGTTTTGTTCCTACCTTGTTGAAAGTGATGTAAGTTTTTTAAACTGTCTTACAGAAGTTCACTTTTTCATATACAATTCCCCACTTTTTTGTTCTTCCTTGCAAATGGAAATGTTTGGGCTCATTGTTCATTTTTGTCAAATTCTCAATCAAAAATAAAGTTTAAAATAGTTTGGCAGGCTTCAAATACCAGGCAAGGGGTTTTTATAGAAATAATAGAGAGTCATGGACAGTTGCTGAGCAGAGGAATGACATGGTGACGGCATGTGAGTGAATGGGGAGAGGACAGGCAGGAAAAAGTCTACATCAGTAGATCTGGCAACCACTTGAATATGGAGGGCAGAGGAGAGGGAAGAATTGAAGGTGACTTCCCAGGTTTTGAGGCTGGGTAACAGAAAGTGAGTGGAAGGCATCAGTAATTATTTCCTTGAGACAATTTTAAAATCATTCATAAATTGGTTTTAACTGTAGGTGCTATAGTATCAGGAGGCAATAGATACCCAAGTAGATAAAGCTGGCCTCTGAGGCAGAAAGCCCTGAATTCAAGTTGAGACTCTGACACAGCCGCACTTAGCACAGTATTTCCCTGGCTTGGCACACTGCTGCTAGCCCACCTGACCTGCCTGGCTGTGTGACTCTGGGTAAGTCACCTAAGCTGTGAGTGTTGTAGGCAGCTCTCTACAATGATCAGCTTCAGAGAAAGGACTGATTCAAATGGGCAGAGGGAGTTTCCTACGCCAAGGAAATCCCAAGTCTGATCTGGTAAACCCCCCAGGGAACACTAGCTTAAGAACACGTAGGTGTTCTTATTACAATAACAAGGTGGTCAGAGTTATAGAGCATGTTATGTAATTCCTGAGACAAATCAAAACTTTGAATTTAGAAAAGTTGGAGCTACACCTTGGGCATGCTCAAACAGGGTTGTGGGAGAGAACCCTGGACCTGGAGTCAGGAAGAGCTGAGTTCAAATCCAGCCTCCTACATACTCTTACTAGCTGTGTGACTCCAGGCAAGTCACTTTACCACTCTTTGCTTCAGTTTCCTCATCTGAAAAAAACAGGGGGATCATAGTAGCATCAGCCTTCCAGGGTAGTTGTGAGGATCAGATGAGATCCTAATTGTTAAAGCACTTTGCAAACCTTAAAACACTACACAAATGCTATTATTGTCATTATTACTACTAGTACTGCTAATGTTCATTTATGAAGCCATGTTGCTGATATAATCAACTCTGTGTTTTTAAAGTAGTGGCCTGATTTTGCCATCTTAGTCTGTTGTCTTCTCTGTCTAGAATTAAGGTCAACTCACAATGGAACCATACACATTTATCATACTTATCATTCTTCCAGGCACATTGTTGTAAACAAGTTAGTCATTCTCTTTTTAAAAAATTACTTTAGGGGAGGCGAATTTTTTTTTTATCACTTTGTTTTGTTTCTTAGCTGGATTACTTTCCCCAAATCTAAACATCTTGCCCATAAATAATCAGCAACTTGGCAGGATATGCTTCTGTAACTTAACCCCTTTCTCACAAGAGTGAATGTAGTCATCAGCATTCTGAGTCAGGGCAAGGGACAGGATACTTAGTATTCAAGAAGTTTTCCAGGTTTAAGGGAAGGAGGAATTCCCCCTCCCCCTTGTAACTGTGAAAATAGTGCCAGGCTCCAAGAGATGTCAGTAGTCTGTATTTTTTCTAAAAGGAATTTATTCATTTTTGTTAGTTTTTTATTATTAAAATTTTCTTACTGCCATACCAATTCCGTATGGCCAATGGACTACTTTAAGTCCCCTTACCTTGATTATATTTACTAAATGTGTGGATCACTTAGTAACTGGAGTGCTGGGATATCTGGGAGGGGAAAGAATTGACTGGCACTCCCGTTCTGTGCTTATCAAACGGACTGGCTGAAGAGATAGCGTTCACATGAGTTGCCATAGCGCACATGAATTCTCCTAGTATTTGAAATTCCAGACACAGCTGATAGGGTGAAGGGGTTACAGTCAGACCTGCACACTCTTAGCCACCCAGTTTAATGTGTTTTGGTTTCAGTGCCCAGTCTGTTAGTGATGTGGACTGTTAGTCATTCAGATTACACAAGGAAGGTGAGCTGTCGTCCCACACAGTTCTAATCTAGCATGACTGTAGTGCTTTCCCCCTAAAAATATCCTACTTCCTGGCTTTCACTAACTGCCTTTGCAAGTTCTTGGACAGCTCTGCCCCTAAGCTGCTGCTGCTGTGAATAGCTTTGTGAGTCGTCCATCTATGGACAACCACAGATGGCCTTACAGTGTACCTGACTGCATTCTTTGTGGCTGTGCTCAGGCAGAATTCAGATAGGACCTAGAAAGCTTGTTAGGTAAAATGAGGCTTGTGCCACTCATTTTAATCATCCATGTATGGCCACAAGCCTTTTCTCCACATGCCAGTTAGAGTTCAGAAGGAGCTGAGAAATGACAAGATCTTGAATGTGCCAGGCCCATCCCACATTTATAAAATGATATTAGAATGTAAGCTTCTCCACGGCAGGGACTATTTATTTTTGTCTCTCTGTCACTAGTGCCTAGGCCAACTGGGTACCTAGCTAGGAAGCACTTCAAAAATGTTTATTGACTGACAAATGACAGAGACTGTAAAAATCAAGGGATTGGACTAAGTGATTTCTGAAAGTTCAGTGAAAGGGTTTCTTTTTTTTTTTCCTTTATATCCCCAGTTCCTATCACAGTGGCCAGCATGCAGTAGGCACTTAATAAATGCTTGTGGATTAACTATCTAAAAGTAGAGCAGTATAAAAATAAAAGGAAATAGTGTTGTTTTCAAGTAGATGAATTGTCATTTGTATATATGGATCATAGGACAGCGTAGGCCTCCTGAAAAAAGGTAGATCAGCCAAGTACAGATAGCTTTCTCCTGGCAGAGTGTGAAAAGGTCAGTCAGCCATGTAGCATCCCTACATAGACCCTTGCATGGACAAACTGCCCTTTAGATGTCCTGATTCACCTCTGTAAAATAGGGGTGCTAAATTATTTCACAGTAGCACAGTAAGGAATTACTTTATCTCAGAGAGGTCAGGTCTAGAGTACCAAGTTTGGGAATATGGCAACTCTGGTGTTTGAGGGGGAGCTGAAACCCTAGAACTCTATTTCTAGTTTGATATTACAGCCAGAGACCAGCGGGGCAGTTTAGCTTGGGACACTTTAGTGGGGGAGGGTTTGACTTGAGAAACTTAAAAAAAATTTTTAATTAATTTATTTTGAATTATCAACAATCAGTTCATAAGCTTTTGAGTTTTAAATATTTCTCCCTCCCCACCTCCCTCCCTAAGACAGCACACAATCTGATATAGGCTATACATATATACTCCTATTAAACATATTTTCACAGTAGTGATGTTGTAGGTAAGAATCAGAACCAATAGGAGGAACCACCAGAAAGAGGAAACAAAACACAACAGAAGAAAAAAAAATAGCAAATAGTATGCTTTGAACTGTATTCAAACTCCATAGTTCTTTCTTTGGATGTGGATAGCATTTTGGAGATTTGAGACACTTTCTTAATGCCTGTATATACATATAGTGAAGTCAGAGGTCTTGAGTTCAAATTCCACCTCAGATATTACTTAACTGAACTGGTGCTCAGTTTCTTCATCTGTAAAATGAGGAGATTGTACTAGATGGACACCACGGGTCCCTTCCAGCTGTAGATTTTGATCCTAGGAGTAAGTAGGGATGGGGAAGCACGGGGATATGCTTTCATCCATATAGAGAACTACCAGAACTACCATAGCAGGTCTTTGCCTTTTTGTATCTTAGTCTTAAGGGTTGTTGAAAGGGATCAATTGAGGTAATATTTCCAAAGTTCTTAGAGAAGCACATAGTAGGCGCTATATAATGTGTATTGCCTTCTTCCTTTTCCTCCCTTCCCCGGGTGGCCCAGGGTCACGTAGTCAGTAGCGCGAGTTGATTCTAAGGTGTGTACGGTTTACAAAAGCTCTCCCCCCCAGAGTCATTACCTCCCCAGATAGCACACACTTGGTAGCCCAGGGAAGGAGGAAGGAACGCACTGCTCTGATTGGCTCCCAGAAGAGACGGCCTGCCGTAAGGTACTGGCCCGGAAGCCAGAGGACCCAGTTCTAAATCTGGCTGTTAGCCTGCCTCTCACTGCGACCCTGGAAAACTCTGGGCCTCGCTGTCTCTGTGAAGTGTGGGGGAGTGTGGTGGGAGATCTCAGAGACTCGTGTTCTAGCTCTACCTAGAATGCTATGACTAAATATACTGAGTCACCCAAGTCAAAAGTTACTGACTCTCCAGGAAGTTGAGTCGCTCGGGACGGCCCCTAAGATTCCATCTGGGGGAAGCCGCGCCCAGCCCAGGTCTGTCCAGGTGCTTAGCACTTGACTGTTTGTGTTTACGGAGGAGTGTTGGGCCTGGCCGGGGGACTGAGGCGGGGGAAGGGAGGCCTCCCTGCCGAGGCTGGCAAATGAGGCATTTAATTCCCCACCGAGTTTGCCCAGGCTTGTGGTTCACCGAGCTTTGCTCCCCGCGACACAGTTTATTCCCTCTTCCCTGCAGGCGGTTAATTTATCGGGGGATGGACCACTGCCCTTGGCACTGTCAGCCCAAGTAGGGGTGGAGGGTGGGGAGGCGTGGGGCGGCCTAAGGGAGGAGCCGGCGGATGAGCCAGTGGAGGGAGGGTCGGTGACTAAGGCCGCTCGGAGAGCCAGCCCGGGACAGGCCAGCCCTGCTGCACAGTATTCCTGTCTCCTCCGTAAGCCCGGGAGGAAAGAGGAGGTTGCATCATGCGTCTCGGATTACAGCGCGGGACCGGGAGAGGCGGGCGTCTCGCGTCCAGCCCGGGGAGGCAGCGGGAGCCAACCGAAGCGATCGCGGCCAGGCGGGGAGAGGGTTAAGTAGGCGGGGGCCGCGGACTGGGAGAGGGACTCTCCGCGGGGCCCGGACGGCCACGTGGGCTGGGCAGCTCAGCCGGGGGAGGGAAAGGAAGCAGGGAAGGTATTTATAGAGGCGGCGGCGGCGGCGCCGGGGCCGAGCTAAGCTAAGCTAAGCGAGCGTCTCTCCCACAGGCACCGGGACGGGCCAGCAGACGATTCCCCACCGAGGTATGGAGAGGCCGGCGCCCCTGGCCGTGCTGCCCTTCTCGGACCCGGCGCACGCCCTGAGCCTGCTCCGGGGGCTGAGCCAGCTGCGCGCCGAGCGCAAGTTCCTGGACGTGACCCTGGAGGCGGCGGGCGGGCGCGACTTCCCCGCGCACCGGGCGGTGCTGGCGGCGGCAAGCCCCTACTTCCGCGCCATGTTCGCGGGCCAGCTGCGGGAGAGCCGCGCCGAGCGGGTGCGGCTGCACGGCGTGCCTCCCGACATGCTGCAGCTGCTGCTGGACTTCAGCTACACGGGCCGGGTGGCAGTGAGCGGCGACAACGCCGAGCCGTTGCTGCGCGCCGCCGACCTGCTGCAGTTCCCGGCCGTGAAGGAGGCGTGCGGGGCCTTCCTGCAGCAGCAGCTCGACCTCACCAACTGCCTGGACATGCAGGACTTCGCCGAGGCCTTCAGCTGCGCGGGGCTGGCGGGCGCGGCGCAGCGCTTCATCCTGCGCCACGTGGGCGAGCTGGGCCCCGAGCAGCTGGAGCGCCTGCCCCTGGCGCGCCTGCTGCGCTACCTGCGCGACGACGGGCTCTGCGTGCCCAAGGAGGAGGCCGCCTACCAGCTGGCGCTGCGCTGGGTGCGGGCGGACCTGCCGCGCCGCGCCGCGCACTGGCCGCAGTTGCTGGAGGCCGTGCGCCTGCCCTTCGTGCGCCGCTTCTACCTGCTGGCGCACGTGGAGGCCGAGCCGCTGGTGGCGCGCTGTCCGCCCTGCCTGCGCCTGCTGCGCGAGGCCCGAGACTTCCAGGCTGCGCGCTACGACCGCCACGACCGCGGGCCCTGCCCCCGCATGCGCCCGCGCCCCTCCACCGGCCTCGCTGAGATCCTTGTGCTCGTGGGCGGCTGCGACCAGGACTGTGACGAGTTGGTCACCGTGGACTGCTACAATCCGCAGACCGGCCAGTGGCGCTACCTGGCCGAGTTCCCCGACCACCTGGGCGGGGGCTATAGCATCGTGGCGCTGGGCAACGACATTTACGTCACGGGTGAGGATCCTGGGGGAGGGGGAAGGGCGAATCAGAGGGCCACTTCCCAGTCCGGTCCAGCGCGCTTCAGCCAGACTATAAATGGCAGACGCACGGAATCACAGCTAGCAGGGTCCCTTAAAGACTTAATGCAAAACCCTTATTTTGGCAAAGATGAAACAGACCAGATTTATGCCCAGTCTCTTATATTGGTCTTGTGTAGGGAATGTGGGGGTGGCCACTTGACCCAGGAGCTGCAGTGGGGCTTGTGCACGCCCCCAACCCTCCCCTAATAGGGAAAGAAATCAGTTACCAAAGTCAAAGCGTCCCTGGATTTGTGGGGGGGGCGGTGCGAGAGGAACGCCATCCTTTCCTCTCGGAGTTTTTTCTAGTACCTGACTGGGCCTTGTTTCACCGAATTTGGCTGTCTGATCAGATTCTAAATTTCTCCCTCTGAGAATAGTTCCCCCAAGTCCCAGTCTCTAATTAAGTTGGACAGACACAACTGGGCCATTCTCTATTCTTCTCCCTCCTCCCACGTCCTGGAAGAACCTCTATTGTTTCCCTAATTAACTTAATAGCTAGAGTGAGTTTGACAGCCAGTGGGACTCTCGCCACCGGCTGGCCCTGCCCAGCCTGGCCTCTCCTGTTTTGGGGACTGACTAGTGTTTGATACAGCTTCCCTCCCCGGGGCTCTCGGCAGGAAATATTTTTTCGAGTGGGTTTGAGTCAGTCACCTTTTATGCATTTGATATATGCTTCCAGTCACATGGTGTTTAGGCTGAAATACCCTGTGATTGTAAACATAGTCACATGATAACTGATTTTCTTCCAGTGCTCTTGGCTGAGAACCCAAGGCAGTGCCGAGTCACTCTGGGTGGGTCCCAGCCAGCCTGGGTCTGTTGGTTCCATTCTTTGTCTTAATAAATCCTGTGTTTTAAAAGGTTCACAGAGCCCCTTCCTTTTTATAAGGCCTGATCTCTGGGCAGCTTTATTAGGCAAAGATAGGATAGGTTGATTTTGTTGGTGGTTTTTTTTTTCCCAAGTCAAAAAGATCTCTTTCCCAGTAACATAGCTAAAAGTTAAATCATCGGCCTACACATTTGGCATCTTGGGGGAGCCAGATTATCGAGGTAAAGTAATTGGATTTCCAAACCTGTAGTATCTAGAGGACCTGGGTTTAACTTTGAAATGAGGGACTGTGGGAAATTTTCCAGAACCTTGATCTCTGGGGCCATTTGAGGCCTTTAACTTTTCAAAATGTGGTTTACTTATTGAAAGTCTATAATTCCCTTTCTGCTAACCATTCCTTTTGACCTGGTAGGTTGTCCATGCAATAGTGGAGTAGTTTGACTCTTTCCCACCCTCCCTGAATGCCTGGGAGCTGCATCTTGTCTATGAGAACTTAGCACAGTACCTCTTGTTTAGCAGTGCCTAATAACTGTTGATCAGTTGGGGTTCCTTAGTGAAAAGGTGAACTCATCCTCACTTGTAAAGAGTAGACACTGTGGTAGAGAAGAGACTGTATGGACCCAGCTTCTGTTCCAGGCTTTGCCACTCACTTGACTGTGTGACTTGGAAAACCCTCTCTTGTTTTCTCCTCTGTTTAAAAAAAAAAAAAGTAAGAGGGAAGGGGGTTGAATCAGAAAGTGGCTTGGATTCCTTCCCGTTCTGACAGTCTGTGCATTTTCTAAGGTTGGTTTGGGAGCTCGAGGAAAAGAACTTGGTGTTCTAATTCTAAGCAAGGCCTTCATGTATACTGGTGGGATGTGTGTGGGTTGCAGCTTCGCTCCAAGGCTGTAGAGATGAATGTAGTTGACTCCTGCACATACAGGTCACATGCAAGGTCAGCCACCCTGTTGACCTTAGGCATTGCTCCTTCAGTCTGTCCTGTTCTGAAAGTTTGAGGGGCAGAGAAATCTCTTCCAGAGAGATCCAAACAGACCCCATTCCTGCAGACTCTTTCCCTAATATAACAGCTGAGCCCACTAATCCTCTTTGTTTAGACAACTGGCCTCAGCCTCCCTTAAGTACAGCTGCCTGGCCGGGGATTCCGGGGAAGGAAGAATGTGGACTGCCAGAATGTCTTTTGGAAACCATTCCTATTCAGAGAACACTGGAAGTGTGTCTGAAGGCTTAACAACTGTTCAGACTTGGGGTGGGGGACCGGCAGCAGTAGCATTCCATAGAAAGATGAGGGGTGCCCCACTGGGTCAGCCTCGAGGGCCTCCCAGACAAAGAAGCTTTCTCTGGCACTGTTGCCCAAGTCACTTGGGTTTGGGAGGATAGTTTTAATATCAGGTGAGCAAGCATGTCTCAGCCATTAGGGACAGTTGCCTGTAAATAGATCGTTGAGACTTTGTCGTTGGTGAATCTTTCTAGTCCTATTTTTAAAAGTTCTTTTCAGTCTACACTGCCTCTTAAGGTAACAAGATTGTAGAAGCATGCTCCCTCCCCATTCCACATGGGACTGTCTGGCTTGCCTACTGGATGTGGCTCTTTGAGCTTTGAGAGGGAGGGATCCCCCAAAGAAGCCCCAGCATTTCTGTAGCACTTGGGAAATGTATGTGTGTTTCTCTCACCTGATTCCCGTAATAACCCCATGAGCTGGGTGCTACAGGTCCCAGGGGAGAGATCAGACCCAAGATTTTATTGTTCTGGAGGGAGAATTCCTAGTGAGGACCAGCTCCTTCTGGCCAGTGCAGCCCTTAGTGTTAATTATTAATTACCTGGGGCACAGGGGTAGGTGACTTGCCCAGGGTCCCACAAGCCAAGGCACCCCAGCTTTTAACAACTCCATTCTCTAGCACTATTTAGTACTATTCTGTCTCAATACAGGTATTTGTCCCCCTTTTACAGGTAAGGAAACAGCGTGTGAGAGGTTAGGTTACCAATACTCCCGTACTACCCAGACGAAAAGTTTTGGAGATGGTAATCGACCCCCAGGTTGTCTTAAGCCTTACTCCCATTATACTATGCCGCCTTGAGCATCCCAAGATTTGGTGACCTAGATGATTTTCTCTGTCTCTGGGGGCATTAGCTTCAGCTCTTTACTAGAAGACAGAGCAGATGGTATCTGGAGATGTGAAAGGGGTTGGCTTCCTGCCCCAAAGCTCTGAACTGTTAGGAAGGAATGCCTAGAATAACCGGAGAGAAAAGTTGTTTTCTAGGTATGCAGACTTTGGGTGTTTGTCCAGTTAGGATGGAGGCCTGGCTTGAAGGTCAAGGAGGCTTCCCTTATTTAGGAAAATGGGTCCAGTCTCTGTTTTCTGAGTATGGTTTTCTCGGGAAAATCCTTTTGTGGAATCTGGGCCCTGAGAGCTGCTTCGAATCCCTCCCTCCAAGGCCTGTGACCTTCAGGAATGGCAGGCGTAGTGGACAGAGTATTGTACTTTGAGTCTGGGGGAGCTGAGTTCAAACCCTACCTCATCCACTTACTGTGTTCTCCAGGCTTCACGTTTCCTCATCTGTCAAATGGTGGGTCGGGGTGCAGGGACCTCTGAGTGACTTTCTAGCTTTGAATCTAGGGGCAAAGGAAGGGAAACGTCCTGGCGGGCCCACAGCTGGCACTGCACCACGCCTTCTGCCCAGAGAAGCCCCTTATTCCTGGTATACCAAGCTTGGGATGTGGACCAGCAGAAAGGGCACAGGATTTGGAATCAGGTGTGACAAGTTCAAATCCAGGTACCGCCCCTGCCACCTGAGTAACTTTGGGCAATTCATTTTGCTCTGTGCACCTCGGATTACCCCACTTGTAAAATTGGGGTCCCAGACTAGATGGTCTCTGAGATCCTCCCAGCTCGAGGTCTAGGGTCCGATGACTTGCCTGGGACTCGGTTGTCCCTCCAGTCAGTCGGTGAATGAACATTTATCATGTACCAACTGTGTGTCAAGCACTGTGCTCTGAATTTAGGGTCCCAAGTTCTTCTCTAGGAGATCAATGAATGGAGAAGTGGGGAGAGCTCTGGGTTTTGGGTCAGGGGACTTAGATTTTTATTCTCAGCTCTGCCCCTCACTCACTGTGACTCTAGGCAAGGTCCTTTGCCTTATTGGCCATCAGATGATCTCTAAGGACCCTAACATACATAGAATCATAGAGGTAGAGGGCACCTTGGCACAGCCCCCCTCATTGTACAGGTGAGGAAACTGAGGCCCCGACTACCATCCCTCAAGGTCAGACAGCCAGGAGTTGTGTGATGCCAGGTGTGTGTTTGTGACTCCACCTCCTCGGTTGTGGCCTGTTTGGGGGAAGGTGAGTTGGTCCCCCACTTCTTGGCAGGAAGGGAATTGAGGCTGGAAAATCTTAGAGAATGAAGACTCCGCTCAGGTTTTGACTCTGTAAGGTCAAAATAGATTCCCAAGCCGAGAGGCCCCCAGGCGGTGAGGGCTGACTGGAATCCTCCTCCTCCTCTCCCCAGCGTGGGCTGGCCTCAGTGGCTTCTTTGTTCTCCCTCCTAGGAGGCTCTGATGGTTCCCGGCTCTATGACTGTGTCTGGAGGTACAACTCGAGCGTGAACGAGTGGACGGAGGTGGCGCCCATGCTGAAGGCCCGAGAGTACCACAGCTCCACGGTCCTCGACGGGCTGCTGTACGTCATCGCCTCGGACAGCACGGAGCGCTATGATCACAGCGCCGACACCTGGGAGGCCCTGCAGCCCATGCCTTACCCCATGGACAACTGCTCCACCACGGCCTGCCGGGGCAAGCTGTACGCCATCGGCTCTCTGGCGGGAAAGGAGACCATGGTGATTCAGTGCTATGACCCAGACACCGACCTGTGGTCGTTGGTCAACTGTGGCCAGCTGCCACCCTGGTCTTTTGCACCCAAGACCGTGACCCTGAATGGGCTCATGTACTTTGTGAGGTGAGTCGTGCCTGAGCCACCCCAGGCCATCTGGGGGAAGCTCCAGGCCTGTGTGCCCTGTCTGCTCTCTGGCTCCTCAAGGGCGGTCGCCAGCCCAGCCATCCGCTGTTTTGCGGAGCGTTTGTTGGGGTTAGATGGCGTTCAGGTCCTGACTTTGCCCCTAGTTCTCCGTGTGGTCTCGGGGGAGGCATTCCCCGGAGACCAGCTTGTTCTGTAGGGACTTGGGCCTGTGACAAGCACGGCACTGTAGGTTTGAGTGTAGTGCTGCTTGCCTCACAAGCCACGTTACCTCTGAGGGCACGGTGGGGGTGTTCTGATCTCCTACTGGTCTGAACCTAGGCTCCTTTCTCCCAACACTTGGTATAAAAGCCAAGTATCGCTTCCAACACTGGAAACCACAAGTCTTTCCTTAAAAAAAAAAAAGAGCTACATTTTTGTGTCTTTTACGTTTTACATCAACTTAATTTCATTATCCAGTGAACCATCCCTTGACTTAGGCAGTATCGTGGAGCGGCAGAAGACCACATGGATAGATGAAGCATGAATTAAGTGCCTGCTGTGTGCCAGGCATTGCATTGAGTGCTTTTACAAAAATTATTTCTTTTGAAATAACCTTAAGAAGGGGGAGCTATTAAATCCCCAGTTTATAGTTGAGGAAACCAAGGCCCACAGTGGTTACCTGCGTTGGCCAGAGTTTCACAGCTAGTAAGCATCTGAGGCCAGATTTGAACACTGACTCTGGAGTCAGAGGGTCCGGGGTTCAAATTCTCTCTCTGCTACTTAGCAGAGACCTTGAACAAGTCTCTCTGGGCCTCAGTTTCCTCATCTGTAAAATGAGACAGAGGAGATGGTCTCTAAGGTCTCTTCCAGCTCTGGATAGAGTCAGTGTGCAGGCATTTATTAAGCACTTACTGTGTTCAAGGCATGGTGCTAAGCACTTGGGATAAAACCGGAGTTCAAGGAGCCTGGTCAAATGGGGAAGATGATGAGTCGGCAAATGTGTACAAACAGGTGAGATACAGGGTGAATAAGAAGGGAACCTGGAAGTGGGAGAAGGGCAGAAAGGGGGAAAGCTGCTTGGGAGCAAAGGGCGAAAAAGAGGAGAAGAGGAGAGCCAGGCAAACCAACCACAGGTTGGCCATTGACCAAGCCTAAGAGGAAACATGTAAGCTATGCCCAGAGAACATTTTATTCTGCACTTCCCTAGGGCCAATCCCAATAATTATAGCTACAAAGCATTCCATTTGGGCCTCTGTTAAGCACCTACTGTCTACAAGATGAGAGGCAGCATTGTGTAATAGCTAGAGAACTGTTCAGAGAGTCAGGAAGCTCTGGGTCTGAGCTTCCCCTGACGGTGCCTCGGTCACTCGGTGTCCCCAAGGCATCTCTCAAGGCCAGCTGTTGGCCTTTAGCCAGCCCATATCAGCCTGCTCACAGCTCACACCATGTCCTGGAGCTGTTGGCTGCCAGCATTGGTGGAGGGCGTTTCCTAACCCGAAATATCCCATACCAAAGAAATCATAGGTCGGGAGAAAAAGGAGATGCCCATCCTCCTGCCGTTGATAGAGATCGTGTGTGGGGGTTTTTTTTTGTCTTCCGAGGGGTTGCGTTTTACGTTGTTGCTTTTGAGTTTTACAAATAACTGATGGAGGAAAAACCTTTTGGGGAAGAAGAGGTTGGGGGTCCTGGGGTTTGCAGCTGGGGGCAGTTCCATAGCCCAGGGTGAAGAGAAGGGAAAGTGTAGGCTGGGAGCCCTTGGGCTGGGAGCTAGCTCCGGCCTGGGGCCGGGAGGAGTCCTAGCCCATCCTGGTCCCTTCCTCCCAAGTCTGTGTAAAGCAGGCACCATGGAGTCTGGAGCTTTCATTTCAGCCTTTTTCTAGCAGATCCTAGTTTTAGGCTCCTAAGTAGGTTCTGTGCCCAGGACAACATAGCTAGGCAGTGTCTGTCTGTCTTGTCTTCCACTTAAATTTCCAGTCTCGTGACCCCAGTACAGGGCAGAGGGTTCTCCCGCAGGGTGACTGGTGATCAGTCCCTCCAGCCTCCAAAGCCAGCTACCGCAGTGGGTATCCCTAGAGAGGAGGCAGTGTATTGGGGCATCCTCTCCACGTATCTCCTACCTCGGTATGCTTCATGCGTATGGAGATGATATCCCTTCCTCTTGGGATGTCTTGGTGGCCCGGTGGATAGAGAGCTGGGCTTGGAATTGGGGACACCTGAATTTGAGTCCTGACTCCGTCATTTACTAGCTGCGTGACCCTGGGTGAGGGATATCACCTCTCGTATCTCAGTTTCCTCATCTGTGAAGTGGGGATAATAACAGACCCTACCTGGCAGTGTTGTTGTGAAGCTCGAACAAAATGCCATGGGAAATAGTTTGCAAATCTTACAGCACTATATAAATGCTAGCTGTTATTATTCCTAGCTATTTCTTGTTAATAATTAGCAAGTGTGTATTGAGCCTCTGCTTACATATGCCAGGTACTGTTCTAGGTGTTGGGCAATCTGAGACAAAAAATAAGCTCATCCAGGCCTTCAAGTAGTGAAATAATAAAGCTGGCGTTTTTATAATTCTTTAGGGTTTGAAAAAGGTCTGTTTTATCCTCACAGAAATCCTGAGAGGTAGATGCTGTTAGGATGCCCATTTTATAGTTGAGGAAACGGGCAAACAAGTTTAGTGACTTACCAAGGGTCACACAACTAGTGAGTGTCTGAGGCTGGATTTGAACTCTGGTCTTCCTGACTCCAGGCCCAGAGCTCTCTCCACTGCACCACCAGCTGCCTCTGAAATATTACAGATACGTAGAGTGAATTCCAGGTACTATGTGGAAGAGGTAGAGAGTCCTAGAAATGGATGAGCAGGGAAGGTCCAGCGTAGGAGGAACTGCCTGAAATGGGGTTTGAAGAAAGCTAGGGATTCCAGGAGGCTGAGGAGAGAGAGAAAGTATTCTGGCATCAGGAACAGCCTGTGCAAAGATCTGGAAGCAGGAGATGAGGAGCATCAGGTCTGGGAAACTGCAGGTAAATCACCTTGGCTGAAATAGAGAACCGTGAGGGAGGAGTGCATACACTCATGGTTTGGGGGGGGAGTTTGGAGCCGGATTGTGAGAGGCCCCACCCCCCGAGGTCAGCTTTGCAGACGGGGGAGTGGGGGGGGGGATTGGAGCTGCCAGTCAGGCTGTATGGGCCCCACCCCCACCCACTCCGTGAACCTGGAAGAGGAAGGTGTGGGAATGCCGGGAGGAGGGGCTTTGATAGTCCCTGTGAGCCCTTCCGGAGGGGCCAAAGGGAAAAAAAAATATTGTTGCCTTTCTGGTATTTACGCATTATTTCCCCTTATGCCCTGCTCCTCATTGAACGCTTCCTTGTAGCAAAATAAAACGTGAGGAACAGCTGCGTGTGATGGGCTCTGTGGGAGGGAGAGGGAGGCAGCCTCCTTATCAGTTCTCCCCGGCTGACTACAGTTCCTGTTTCCTTTTCTTCCCCTTTTTATCAGTTGAAGGTTGGATTTTTTGTTTGTTTTGGGGGGGGAAATCAGAGTCGAGTTATCAACCATTTCTTTGGTCTCCTCTCTCCCCTCCCCCATTGTGTTCGGCTACATGGAGCCCAGAACATGGGGTGCCCGTGCCCTGGCCAAGGTCACTCTGTACCTTTCTTGCCACTGCAATGCCTCCTCTGCCTCGGTGCCATCCCTGGACCATCTGAGGAATGCCCTAGGCCCGCCTCCGCCAGCCCTTCCCACCCTGTTCTTCTCAGAAAATACTGGGGTGAAACTTTTCCAGCCCCCTCCCCGTTCCCCCAAGCCCAGCTTCAGCTCTCTTCAAATAGAAAACCAGAGGAGCTATAAATAGGGCTTCTCAGAAAGTCTCGACTTCAGTTACCGCCCCTTTCTTGCTTGGAATGGGGCTCCGGGATGGCCACCTGTGAGAATGTTCTGTCCTTTCCTGTCGACCTGAGGGCGAGAAATCTTCCCGGGGCCGAGCTTCAGCTCAGGACTGCGAACATCAAGTCTCCACTTGCCTGGCCCAAAGCCTGTGCCAGCTGGCCTGCCGAGGCGCTCTCAGAGAAGCCCCTCTTACTCCCCCCACTCCCCCACCGGTGTTTGCTGACCACATAGCTTTCCTAAACGAGCTGGCGACCAGAACGGCCTCTCGCCCTTCCCAAGGGAAATGATGCCGGCTAGAGTCCCGGGTTGTTTTGTGACTTGGGGCAGGTTTCTTTTTTCTGATAATCCATGTTCCCACCTAGCTCTAACGAGGAGTGAGAATAGTTCTTACTCTTGTGGTATAGATGGGATACATCCGGAAGACCTAGATTTTAGTTCTGCTTTGGGAGCTTGTAGCTCTGTGATCTTTGGCAAGGCATCTAACTCCTCCAAGCCTCGGTTTCCTCATCTGTCCAGTTGGGAGTGATAAAAAGTGCTTGGCAGACCTTAAATAAAGTGCTGTGTAAACTGACCTGCAAGATACATGTTGCATATAGAGGATATTTGAGGCAGCTACATGGTGCAGCAGATAAGAGTGCTGAGCCTGGACTCAGGAAGGCCTGAGTTCACACCCTGCTTCATTTACTTACCAAGTAGACAAGTAATTAAGGGTCAAAGGTTAAATGACCCAGGCAAGTCTATTTGGCACAGCCTGCCTCAGTTTCCCCATCTGTAAAATAGGGTTAATAATCACACCCACCTCCGAGGGTTATTGTGAGGCTCAAAGGAGATATTTGTAAAGCGCTTTTGAAACCTAAAAGGGCTATGTAAATGTTAGCTATTCTATTTGTGTGTGTGTGTCTGTCTGTCTGTCTCCAAATTTATATTCTTTGATCTGGAAGACAGAAAGGTCTTGTCTAAAGGAAAGGAAATTTTATTTTGTCTTCAGTTCAGAATAAGAATAAAAGAGAGGGAAGAATCAGCTGGCTTCTTAGAGTTGGCCTTCCCCTCTGTCTCCATAGAGAAGGCCCACCTCAAATATGGGAAGAGAAAGGAAAGCGGGGTTCGATAACAGGCACCGTGCTTTCTTATTGACCTCGGTTTTTGGGTTTTTTTCCATCAAGCTCCTGTCTGAATACTCCAGGCCCACTTACCTTCTCTCCCCAGTTTCTTTATCTGCATGTAAAAAATAGCGGGGTTGGCCTAGGTGACCTCTTTTTTTTTCCTTTAGGCAGTTGGGGTTAAGTACTTGCCCAGGGACATACAGCTAGTAAGTGTCAAGTGTTTGGTCTGAGGCCAGACTTGAACTCAGATTTTCCTGACATCAGGGTAGGTGCTCTATCCACCGCATCACCTAGCTGAGCCCAAGGTGACCTCTTAAAAAGTGTGTCTGTGTGCGCTCTTGCACATTTATATCTGCACATATGTCTGTAAACACATACGTGCACATAAACACTTTTATTATATATTTAGTAGTAGTAGTTGTGATTTTTTTTATTATTATTATTATTTCTTTATTGAGTAATCTGTTACCCCACCTTTGCCCTTTACTGCTAAGGAAAAGAGTCATGTAATTTTTTTTTTTTTAGTAGTTGTAATTGTTCACAAAATGTCCCTGTTTGTGCTCAAAGAACAAAAAAGAGGATTGCATGTGCACCAGTGAATTTCTGTGACGTTAGAAGTTAAATATTAAATTTAATGGGGGGGGAATGAAGGAAAGAAGCGCTGTCCCTTTGTGTCTCTCCTTCCTGTGTCCCTAATGAGGTGGGAGCAAGGTCTCCTGTCCTTGTGGGAGAGTGGCAGCAGATACCACCTGCTTCCCTCACCTGTCGTCCTCATGACTCTAGAGAAGGCAGGCATGTGCTGTGGGCAGGGGGCCGGCCTGCCTGTTGATCCATCTTTCCGAGCTGCTGGCTCCTCCTACCCAGATGAAATCTGGCCCTTCCAGGAGGGCTCCTGAAGGTCCCTGAGAAGGAATTAATGAATGAAGTCAGATCGGCCTCCTCCTGGTCAGGCCTCTGACTTCTTGGTCACTTGGAATAGTGTTGTTTTTCAGTCTTGTCTGGCTCTTTGGGACCCCATTTGGAGTTTTCTTGGCAAAGATACTAGAGTAGTTTGCCATTTCCTTCTGTGGCTGATTTTACAGATGAGGAAACTGAAGCAGACAGGGTTAAGTGACTTGTCTCAGACCAGATTTGAACTCGGGAAGCTTCCTGATTCCAAACCTAGTGTTCTCTATTCACTGCCCAGCCTGTCTGCCCCAGGACAGAGTTTAGTTTTGGACAAAGAGAATAATAGAATAAGCTGAAAGAGGGCAGGGGAAGAGCAAGCATTTATTAAGCTCCCACTGTGTGCCAGGCACAAATATTTCCCCTTTGAAAGGAGCCTCCAAAAGCAAAAGGGGGGGGCAGTTAAGTGGTGCAGTGGATAGAGCACCAGCCCTGGATTCAGGAGGACCTGAGTTCCGGCCTCAGACATATAACACTTACCTAGCTGTGTGACGCTGAGCAAGTTACTTAACCCCAATTGCCTCACCAAAAAAAGCAAAAAAAAAAAAAAAGAAGTAGCCTCCAAAGTGTGGTCCAGCCTCAACAGACAGCCCCTCTAACATATCGCTGGCAAATGGTTGTCCTTCTTTAGCCCCTACTTGAAGACCCCCCACAGGGGCCTAGATTTAAGCTGGAAGGACCTTGGAGGTCATCTGAACCAACCCACTCATTTTACAGATGAGGGATTTGAGGTTCAGGGATGGGGAGAGGCTTGCCCAGGATCCCCCAGGGAATACATGACCGGTTAGATTTGCATTCAGGTCTGGTGACTCCCAAGTCCAGTATTCTTTCTACTGTACTGTGCTGCCTCTCAGGAGGAACCACTGTTTGTGGACAGTTTGAGTCATAGGGAGCTTTTCCTCCGTGGAAGTAAAATCTGCCTCCCTGGAGCCTTGGTTCCCCCATTTGTAAAATGAGGGGCTTGAACTAGCGGGCTTCTGAGATCTATTCAAGCTCTAGATAGAGGCCTTCCTCGGGCTCGGTTTTCCCTTCTATAAAATAGAGAGACTAGCATTCCCCACACAAGTCATAGTTGCCAGTCAAGTAAGAGAACATATGTGTGGCCCTTTGCAAATCTTAAAGGACTACCTAAGTACTGGCTGCTAACATTATAGATCTGTGATTCTTTCTTTCCCCTACATTGTTTTCATTGATTTTTCTTTTACACTCTTATCTCTTCCTAATACCCACCTGCCTTATAACAAAAAGAAACAGTTTAGGCAAAAAAAAGAGACTGACTTGGGCTCCTAGGATACTGAGAGGAAAGAGAGAAATCTTTCTTCCTGTCATCTGCTGTGATTTGGTCACAGCCATCCTTGAGGGGGAGGGTTGTTTCATTTGTGTTTCTTTTCTCTCCAGCGTTTAGCGATGGGTCTTGATTCATAATAAGTCATTATGTGCATGAATAAAGCATTTACTGTGTGCAAAGCACTGTCCTTTTAGACAAGTTGTGGTCATTAGGAGCCGTGTCCCCCGTGAAAGTGAAATCTGCCCCCTGGAAACCTCAGTTTCCTCATCTGTAAAATGAAGAGATTGTCCTAGGGGACCTCTGAGAATCTCTTTTGGCTCTAGATAGAGGTAGCTAGTGGATAGAACTCTGAACTTGGGAGAAAAGAAAAATCTGAATTTTAATATTTTTGTGTTTACATTCCCATTATTGTGTTCGTTATGTGTGGTTCAGCTTCCTTGCCTTTGTCTCAAGTTTAGACAGGTCTTCCTAACTTTCTTTAAATTCTACATATATCATATTTCATAGCACTGTATTCCACACCACATTCATATAATGGTTTATTCAGTCATTTTCCAGTTAATGGTACCTCCTTTGCTTTTAGCTTTTTGCTACCGCAGAAGGTACCCACTGCAAATATTTTAGAGGCAGCTAGGTAGCAGAGTGGGTACAGTGCCAGCCCTGGAGTCAGAAAGACCCGAGTTCAAATCTGCCCTCAGACGCTGACTAGCTGTGTGACCCTGGGCAAGTCACTTAACCCTGTTTGCCTCAGTTCTTCATCTGTAAAATGACTGGAGAAGGAAATGGCAAACCCCTCCAGTGTCTGCCAAGAAAACCACAAATGGAGTCACAGAGAGTCAGGACGTGACTGAACAACAATGAATATTTTGTTATGTGTAGAATCTTTTCCCAGTCTTGGAATCTCCTTGGTTTTGTGGGTTAGCCTCGATCAGGATGAAGAGGAGGGGTTATAGGCAGTAGTAGGTATATGTACACATATAATATACATGTATGCATTGTTATACATAGGTGTAGGTATATGGGTGTCTTTATGTGTTTACATACGTACATGCATATACACATGTGTGCGTATGAGGAGAAGAGAGTGATGACAGCTGTCTTCAAGTGTTTGAAGGACTGTCTTTGTGTTCTTGCCGTTTGTTAGCAACAATGTGTTATAGTGGAAAGAGTCTCAACTTTGGAACCAGAAATGGCAGGTGCTATAGATCAGGGTTAGATTTATTGCTCTTTTCGTTGTCCAGAGTTGCTAAGAAAATGATGGAGAAAATATTAATAATGCAGAACAAACATGAAAAGGTGTCATGGGTATCTGTTGGCTTTTGTTTTGTAGAGCTTGTGGCTAAACGTTTACCAGCCCATCCCTTACTGGATGACCACTGAGCTCTCTCGCAAATCCCAGGTTCCATGATGCTTTGGATATTAGACCTCCTATGGGATATTTAAGCAGGGGGGGGATTCCTTGCTCCCCTATTAATGATTTTTTTTTATCATAGTCACATTGATTTTGTTTGTGCCGAAGCTTAATTACCAAATGTCTATATTATTAAAATTTAAGTTAAGTTTTAAATTATCAAAATTGTTTTTTCTATTATCGATCTGTATCCCGTATTTGGTTGTGAATGTCTGGGCTCCCTCTTGGTGAGTCGTTGGCCTCACATCTTAGACAGAATCCAGCATGGTTCTATGGGGCTGGTTTGGGGGCCCAGCTTTGTCAGGATCACTACCCTCTGAGGTGAAGGAGTCTCGAATTTGCTGAATAGTATCAAAGGAGCACAGAGTAGGAAGGGACCTCGGGGTCCATCTGGTCCGGTCCATCTCCTGTCTGAGCAGGCATCTCTCCTTCAGCCTCCCTGACAAGTGGTCAGTCACCCAGCCTCCCCTGCCTCCCACAGTGACTCATTCTGTTACTCGGTAGCTCTGAGTGAGAGGGGACATCGAGCCAGAGTTTGTGCCTTCTTAATGCAGCCCTCCAGAGCCAAACGGAACCAGCCCACGCCCTGTCTGCCGTTGCTCAGCCCTTTGTACATGGTGCCTGGGGCCCCCCAAAACAGCTCTGTCTGCTGATACCCAGGTGGCGTGGCCTTGAGACCCTTCATCATACCTCTCGCCACTCCCCGGATGCCCTCTGAGCTTTTATCGATGACCTTCCTGCACTGGGTAGCCAGAAGTGGCCACACAAGGCCGCCCATGGTGATCTGATGAAGGCAGAGCCTGGCCTGGATGCCCTGCCTCTCCGTGCAGCTTCTGATTGCATTAGCTTTGTTGGTTGCCATGGAAACAGCAGCATCCAGCTGTTCGCTAGAAGGCTGGAGCATGGGGGTTGTCGCTCTGCCTCCCACACAGGGATCGTCGATTTCAAGAGGGAAAGGACTTTAGGGCTGTCCAAAAGTACCCCTGAGAAGGGACACTGTGCCCAAGAGCACACAGCGGATAAGGGCAGAGCAGAGATTCTAGGTCCATTAGGGAGTGGGAGTCCCCTCTTGGGTAGAGAGCCCCATGGGCAGGGTGTCCTTGCACTAATCAGCCTCCTCTGTTTGTCTCTCCCAGAGATGATTCTGCTGAAGTCGATGTGTATAACCCTGTGAAGAATGAATGGGATAAGATCCCTTCTATGAACCAGGTAAACTTGGAAATGGGGGGTTTTTTTCTCTGTCCTCTTTAAGAGGATGGAAGCACTGGGCACAAAGCCCACTCCTGTCCTTTCACATGTCCACACTGGCACTAGTGAGCCTCTGGCCAGCTTTTCTTCATCAGGCCAGGGGTGGGGAGATATAGATGTCAGGGGAGACCAGGCTTTGACAAGATGGTGGTGATGGGGTGAGACATCTTGGGAAAGGGTTATTCTGTAGAAACACACCCACTTGGGAAGCCTTCTCAGGCTATGTCTGCTTTAAAAAAAAATTATCTTGAATTTCCCATTTATTTATTTATTTATTTATTTTTGGTAAGGCGGTTGGGGTTAAGTGACTTGCCCAGGGTCACACAGCTAGTAAGTGTCAAGTGTTTGGTCTAAGGCCGGATTTGAACTTGGGTCCTCCTGACTTTAGGGTCGCTGCTCTATCCACTGCACCACCTAGCTGCCCCCAAATTTTTATTTTTTAGAAAAGCTTTATTATTCTCTTTTCTAACGAATGTTTTTCATTTCTGGAAATGGCCTTCCCCAACCCCCAGAAAAAAGATCCTCCCTTATTCAGCAAAAATGTTTGATCCTGTGGCCATACCCAGCAGTGTGTATACACTATTGTGCCCATTCTCTCCAGTGTCTGCCTCTGACTTTTGTAGACCTCTTTGTCCTCATGACGTTTGGCCCTGGATTTTACTTACACGTGGAGATCTAGGATTGTAAATTAAGGGTTACAGGGGACTTCAGGGGCAACAAGTCCAATCCCTTCATGGTACATATGAGGAAACTGAGGCCCAGAGAAGTCACACTGCTGGGATTGGAACCCAGGACCTCCAACTCCATTGACTTGTCATCGCTCCAGAGTGCCTCATGTTGTGTCTGTCCCCCGGTAGGATGTAAACCCTTTGAAGACACAGGGGGCCTGTTTTGTCTGGTGTCTTTGTTTCTACCTTGAAATTTTTGAGGGGTGGATTTTCTGGGTCTGACTGTGTTGGGTAGAAACTTCTTTCTCCATCAGGGCGGAGGCTCAGGAACTTGGTCGAGATCCCGTAGCCAGCGAGTCTGCAAGGCAGATCTGAGCCCGGGACATCCCGCCTCTACTGAGTGATTGTTGGGTGGATGGCTGTTGCTTTCAGCTTCCTGGGTGGCGGGCTCCCCCTCACCCCTGGTCTTTTGGTCTGTAGGTCCACGTGGGAGGCAGCCTGGCTGTCTTGGGCGGGAAACTCTACGTGTCTGGTGGCTACGACAATACGTTTGAACTCTCTGATGTGGTGGAGGCTTTTGACCCAGAGACTCGGGCGTGGAGTGTGGTGGGCCGCCTCCCGGAGCCCACCTTCTGGCACGGCAGCGTCAGCATCTTCCGCCAGTTCATGCCTCAGACCACGTCCAACGGGCACGGCTTCGACCTTGACGATGCCAGTGACTCGAACTTGAACCGGCCCCGGCAGCGCCTGCAGAATCAGAACCAGAACCTGAATGAGCTGCATTAGTGCCGGCCGGCCTGGGCCTCGGCTCGGCACGCGGCTCCGTTGGCGTTTTGGGGGGAGGGCAGGGAGGACCCCAGTGACCGACAGGCGTGGGTTGTCCACATGTGTGATGAGGCGCTGGGTCTTCAGGAAACGGAGCACTTGGAACCACCGGTCAGGGTGCCGGCTTAGCTTTCAGCAGATGGGGAGAGGCTAGCGCAGAGAGGCTTCCAAAGCATCCCTCCTTTTCACTTGTGGGAGAGTCCCCCCAACATCCACCCCTGGCTCCCCGACACCTGCATCGCTGCCCACTTCTGCCTCCTGACGAGCCCCGTGTTCCTGTCTTCATTCTAGGGCTGCCGGTGGATGGTAGGACCGAGCCCTTGGTACCAGGTTGTGGGAATATGTGGGCATGGTATACACGGAGAGGCCAGCTAGAATGCCCTGGGGTCCTGCTCAGAAAAGAGCTCCCCTTCCAGGTGGACTTGTGCGGATCCCCTCTGCTCCCTACCCCCATTTCAGTGGTATTCGGGTATATAAGCACCTACCCTACAGTGCCCTGTTAACATGCCTGTTCGCTGGGTGCTTGGACTAGCAAGCTCCCAGCCCAGGTGACCCGTGGTGTGTGCTTTCTTCATTCCCTGCGCTGCCTGACCTTTGGGACCGGCGGAGCAGAAAAGCAGGTGCGTTTTCAGGAGCTGGTGCTGGTGGAGACCCTTATCCTCCCTTTGTCCTCCCCTCTCCTCAGATGGGCCAGTGGCTCTGCTCCCTCGGAGTCCCAGCTGACTCTCCCACACACCCCACCGTAGACATCATTAATGAAATGGACATCAGCCTTTAGATTACAAGCGTCTTTTAAAGACCCGGCACGCCAGCCAGTCCCATCTTCTGTGTGCCCGGCTTGAGAGGGTAGAACGGAAGGAGGTGTCTCCGGTGAGCGTGCTGGGCAAGGATGTTGACTCTGCTCGCTCCTCTGGACCAGATCTGCCCTCGGCTGGCCCAGGCTATCCTCCGGCCTCTGACAGACACCAACTGTGAGCTGGGTTGTGGCCCAAAGGCAGAGACGGCCCAGCTTACCTTGTATTGAAAGGTGTTACAAACTGCTGTCATCGGTCTAAAGGGAGGGAGGAGTTATCGAGGTGTTGGTCACAGAAATAGGACCCTAACCCCACCCCGGAGAGCCATGCCAGAGCTAAAACCCCTTGTGCTTTCTTCTGCCCCAATGATGCTATTTAGGCGGCCCAAAGGAGTCCTAGGTGTCTTCCTGCCCCAAGATTGCTGCCTGGTGACCCAGAGTTAACCCCTTTACTTCCTTAGTGCCTCCCCTGTAAAGTGGGGGTTGGGTTCAGTGGCCTCCGGGGCCCCTTCCCACTCTGAATCTGGGCTCCCCATTGGCTTGACCCCCAAAAAAGTCATGTTTGTAACAGCAGCTATCTGTATTGACTCACATTTTCCCATTGGATTTTTTTTCTTTTAAGAGAAATGTTCCTATAGAGAGCAGTGTTGTTAGCTCTCACGTAATTTAAAAAGGTGGGTGCAGGGACAGAGAGGACTTACGAATAAAGGACTGGCCTCAGAGCCACAGACCTACAGACCTAGGTGCGAATCCCACCTCAGACACTTGCTTGTGACCCTGGACAGTTTGTGTAAGTAGAGAAAGGTTTCCTCACCAGGAGCTGATGAAATCCAGTCTGGATTTTTTTTTTAAGTCACCTTTAAAAATCCTAACTTTTTGTTTTGGTTTTTTTGTGAGGCAACTGGGGTTAAGTGACTTGCCCAGAGTCACACAGCTAGTGAGTGTTATGTGTCTGAGGCCGGATTTGAACTCGAGTCCTGACTCCAGGGCTGGTGCTCTGTCCCCTGTGCCACCTAGCTGCCCCCCAAATCCTAACATTTTAAGTGATGTTTTTGCCTTTGTCAGGAGACCATCTCTCCCATGCTACCCCCTGCAGGGAATATTAGTCAAATGGACAGTCAGCCCTTGAGAGTAAAAGCATTTTTTTAAAAAGCTATATCCCACCTCAGAGTCCTGCTGAGCCCCTGTAAGGGACTCAAACAGTTAAGTGCTCACGCTTCTTGTTTGAAAGAGAGGGGGCAATGTGCTTTAAGTGGCATCTTGTAGTAGGTAACTGGCTGGCACCCTTCTGGGCATGTTGTGCAGGGTAGGTAGGCTCCGATTCCCAGTGGAGAATGGGACCTTCAGAGGGTAAAGTGGCTTCTGGAGGAAAGAGCTGCCATCCAGAGAGTGTTCAGAGAAGGAGTGGCCTTGTGAGTTAGGGAGAACAGAGTGCTGGGGCTTAGAATCCAGCCCGATTGGCCCTGGGTTCCGATCCTGCCCAAGCTGAGAAAGTCAGTTAACCCTTCTATGCCTCCACTTTACTTATCTGTAAAATGAGGGGGCTCTCTAAACCTGTGATCCTAAGGTGAGAATTAGAAAGTACCTCTCCAAGAACCAGTGACATGTTGGAGAGGCTTCCTCTACCATATTTCTGCTCCCCTGCCTGTTGGGCTTAGAGGTCAAGATAGGGACATGTCGGTATTTTCTGGTCTGAGAAGCATCTATTTGGGGTCCGTGCCAAGTCAGCTCAGCCGTAGGAAGTATCACGGATACAAACAACCCTGGGCAAGATAGTACCAGGTAAAGTGAAAGTCCAAGGGACCTGGCATAGAAGGCTGTGCTCTCCATCTGGCTTGGCATTCTCAAATCTACTGCCCCCCTCAGTTAAGCCATGTGACCCTGCCCCTCCCCATCCTGGTTGTTTTGAGGATTAGATGAGATCATCTATTCAGGTGCTTGGCAGACCTTCAAACGCTACACTAGTTAACTGTTACTATTATCCCTTTGGGGGGCTCTTGGGGAGAGCTCACCAGGTCCATTTTCAGAGATTTATGTGAAGGAGGTGTACCTTCACTCTCCTATTCACAGCCCCACCCACTCTCCTATTCACAGCCCCACCCCAGCTAGGGGGCAGCTGGCTGGCAGGGTTCCCTCATCTCCCATCAGGTGAGGTCAGGCTGGTGTGGACTCCAGGTGGAGATGCTCTTCCCACCCTCTGGTTTCACACTTGACCACCAGCCACTCTAGGGCCCACCTCTGCTTTGCCTCTGGCTCCTTCCCTTTATCCCAAACCCCAGCTGTAAAGTCACAGACTTGAACCATTAACCCTCTACCACCTCTTTCCCCTTCCTGGATTAGCACTGATGTTAAGCTGGTGGTCTGTGCCCGTGTGTGTGTATGTGTGTATGTATGTGTGTCGGTACTAAACTAAATTTGCCTTATAGGATGGTAAAGAGAATTCTGTGACAAATAACTGAATGTTGAACTCTTAGAGAAAGTACTCTATATTTATATGGATCTCCTAGATTTGCTTACTCCAGGATTCACTCCTGTGTAAGATGCCAGAACCAAAGCGTGAAGTAGGTTTGTGTATTTATTTTGTTTACTGGATCAGACTTCCATGTCCTGTATCATGGTTAAGGTATCCATCCCATACTTTTTTTGAAATAAAGATATTTCCTATATGTTCAGGCTCTTTGTTTCTGTTTTTAATTCTCAGGATTGTGTGTGTGCTGGAAAGTACAGTTGGGTTAATAGAGGGGGCACAGACTTTCAGAAGACATGGGGAAATTGGTGTGGAGGCCTCCAAGACAGGGTAGAATGTCATGTATGAGGAGCTGAAAGGCCAGTATCGCTGCAAGTTTGGGGGCATTCAGGAGTGAGATGTAAGAAGACTGGAGAGTTAGGAAGGGGCTGGGTGTTAAAGGGTTTTTGATGCCACAGAACTTTATATTTCACCCTAGAGGAATTGGGAAGCCATTGGAGTTTGAACCTGAAATGTAACAAGTCATGACTGTGTTTTAGAAAACTCACCTTGGCAGCTGAGTGGAGGATTGATTGGAGTAGATGGGGACAAGGCAGGGAAGCCAGTTGGAAGGCTTCTTAAACTCCAGTCCTTGGTAATTGGTGGTAGCCTTCACACAGTTAAACTTTCAGAATCTTAGTCGTGAATCTTAGGTAATAAGTGTCTGAGGCCAGATTTGAACTCGGGTCTTCCTGACTCCAGGACCCGTGCTCTGTCTACTGTGCCACCGAGCTGCCCCAAGATGACAGTTTTTCCAATAAATACTTGAAAACAACTATCATGGCCCTCCAGTTTCCCTGCCCTTCCCCAGCCTGGTTGCCTTCCTCTTGACATCCATCAGTATATATTGGTGTCTTCCTAAAATGTGATTCCCAGAATTGAGACAACAAGCCTACCGTGCTTCCTTCCACAATTCTTTCATCATGCTATTTAAACCAGATGACCAAAGCGAAAGCCAGCCTAATGACTTTAAGTCTGACAGTGATTTGATCAAATCTTGGGTAAACCCCTACTTTGCAAGTACAGGGGTATGGTAATATTGTACTAGAAATGCTAGCTATAAAAAGATGAGAAGAAGAAATTAGAACTGGCAATAGGGAAAAAAACCTTGCTTTTTGCAGATGATATTAATGGTATACTTAGAGAATCCTGGAGAGTCTACTAAAAAAAACTAGTTGAAGTAACTTCAGTAAAGTTGTAGGATATAAAATAAATTTGCAACATTTTTGTGTATTACCAAACAAAGCCCAGCAGCAAGAGATAGAGAAATTCCATTTAAAATAACTGTAGACAGTGTAAAATATTTGTGAGTCTGCCTGCCAAGATAAACCTAGGAACCGTACGAACACCACTACAAAACACTTTTCACACAAAGTCAGATATAAAGAATTGGAAAAATATTAATTGCTTATGGGTAGGCTGAGCCAATAAAATATAAAGGACAATTCTACCTAAATTAATTAATTTATTCAGTGGCATACCAGACTACCAAAAATTATTTTATAGAGCTAGAAAAATAATAAAATTCATTTGGAAGAGCAAAAAGCCAAGAACATCAGGGGAGTCAATGAAAAAAAAAAGTGAAGGAAGGTGGCTTAGCAGTACCAAATCTCAAATTATTACAAAGTGGTAATCATCAAAACAGAGCAGGACTGATTAAGAAATAGAGTGGTGGATCAGTGGAATAGATTAAGTATACAACACGTAGCAAATTGCCACAGTGATCTAGTGTTGGATAAATCCAAAGATCCAAGTTTTTGGGACAAGAACTCAACATTGGACAAAAATAGGAAATTGAGGGGCTGCCCATCAGTTGGGGAATGGCTGAACAAGTTGTGGTATATGATTGTGATGGAATATTATTGTATTATAAGAAATGATAAGCAGGATGTTTTCAGAAAAATCTGGAAAGACTTACATGAATTGGTGCTGAGTGAAGTGAGCAGAACCAGGAGGACATTGTACACAGTTAACCGCCACATTGTGTGATGAGTAATTTTGGTAGTCCTGAGCAATGCAAGGATCTAAGACACCTCCGAAAGTCTCATGATGGAAAATGCTATCCACCTCCAGAGAAAGAACTGATAGAGTCTGAATGCAGATCAAAGTATACTGTTTCTAAATTGTCTTTACTTTTTGTTTGTTTGTTTGTTTTCTTTTACAACATGCCTAACGTGGGAATGTTTTGCACAACTACATAAATATAATCTCATTCCAATTGCTTCCCTTCTCAAGGGAATAATATTTATCATATAAAACAGCAGCATAATAATTTATGTAACTAATTTAGGCAAGAGGAGGAAAGGGAGAGAATTTGGAACTCAAAATTTTTAAAAAATGAATGTTATGATTACACACGTATAACCTATATTGCTTGCTTCACACTTTGTGTGAAAAGTGTTTTGTAGTCGTGTTCATATAGTTCCTAGGTTTATCTTGGCAGGTAGACTCACAGATATTTTATATTTTCTACAGTTATTTAGATGGAATTTCTCTTTCTTGCTCCTGGGTTGTTTGTTTTGCTTTTTGGTGAGGCAGTCAGGGTTAAATGACTTGCCCAGAGTCACACAGCTAGTAAGTGTCAAGTGTCTAAGGCTGGATTTGAACTCAGATCCTCCTGACTCCAAGACTGGAGCTCTATCCACTGTGCCACCTAGCTGCCCCATTGCTGTTGGGTTTTGTTGATAGTATATAGAAATGTTGATGATTTATGTGGTTTATTTTATATCCTACAACTTTGCTGAAGTTGTTAATTATTTCAGCTAGTTTTTTAGTTGACTCTCCAGGATTCTCTAAGTATACCATTATATCATCTGCAAAAAGCAATAATCGAATTGCTTGCCTTCTCCATGGGAGTGGGGGTGGGGAGGAAGGAAGGGAGAGAATTTGGAGCTCAAAGTTTTAAAAATGAATGTTAATTGTTTTTACATGTAACTGGGGGAAAATAAATACTGAATAAAAGCTAAAAGAAAAAATGTTGAAAATTGTTTTTACATATAATTGGAAAAAATATATAAAACTTTAAAGGAAAAGAAACTACAGTAAATTACTTCTTCCACCCCAGAACTCTACAAAAAGTCAACCAGGTAAAGCTCAGTCAGTCAGTGAGCATTTATTAAACACTTACCGTGTGCCAGGCACTGTGCTAAGTGCTG